ATGAATAAATGCTATTTGTGAACTATCACAAAATTTCAAGCCATGAATTTTGCTTACAATGCTCATGTTTGAACTGTTATTTATAGGCACAAAAACCCATGCATTTTTTAAACCCTTCTCTGAAAAAGTTTTCTATCTTAAAGTTTTCCTTTCTGCTGTAAACCATTCACAACACTTTTATCAATTGTACACTCCTAAAACTTCCCAGTTGTATCCTGTCAAAGGTGAAGAAATAATATATAGCTTTTCACTGTGTAAAATATTATAAACGATATATAGTGAGAAAACAGTTATTAAAAATGGATCTAGTTCAGATGCTCCCAAGCCACTTATCCGGGGGGAAAAAATCATATTTGCCAAATATGTTTTAAAACCAGTGGGTTTTCCCCTCACCTTTTTTCATATGGAAGATTTCATTACTGTGTGGTAGGATGATTCATCCATTTCTGGTCCAGAAATTCTTAGATTTAATTTTTACACCTGGAATGATGCTCAGGATCTAGACTGTCAAAACTGCATGGAAGGGGCATCCTCACCCAGTCATCTCTTACATATCCTATAAAAGACACCTGAAAAGGTACCTACATTTCTTGAAGGAGCACTCAAGTAATTTTTATTCCTCCTTCCTTGTCAGCTGTTGACTTAAAGAATGTGGGAAAGACTGGAGGACCAGTGCCTTGGTGCGCACTGGAGCTACGCGGGGGCATGAGGGACTGTCCCCTCAACAGGGAAGTGGGAAGGTGAAGGTGAGGAGGATCCTGATTCATGATCTTGAGCATGGGGGTGACCGAGATGAGCACCTCTGTGGAGGACAGGCTTACAGCCTCCAATTCCGGCTCTGTTCGCCAAGGGTAAAGGGTAATTATCTCACACAAACTGTTTAGTCTTCTACTTATCCATAGTGTACTGGCCCTATCTTCTGATTCCTTGGAAGTTTTCAACAGCAGGGCTTTCAGCTCGTTTCTTTGAAGCCTGTTTTCTAAAATGCTACAGGTGTGCTTTGCAACAGTTCAAAGAGCATCCATCCCCTTTGCTTTCAGCTACTCCATGTCGTACTGCAGCTTTGTCTTATACAATGAATATCACAGTGAAATTTCTACATTAAAGGCTCCATTCAGTAAAGTGCGGATTTTAAGTTTTAAAACACTAATATAGAGAAACAAAATTCACAATGATCTCAATATCTATCGCCTCAGAATGCCAAAAGTTAGGAAGATCACATCTGCTGCCTTAGAGCCCATTATTTCCCTTCAATTCCCTTGCCTGTGATGATGCCCAGAGCCTGAATCTCAGAGGAAAGAGTCAAACTTTCCCATAAAGAGATCTCACCCTGCTATCTACTATCTAAAAACTAGCCTGAGTTCTCATGCTTGAGATTTATCATCCCCAAGGTGTGTCATATTGAAAAGTAAGTTTTGCCCTTTCCTCATTCATTCTTTCCCAAAGTGGGGTGTGTGCATAAATCAATGACACTGATTGATGAAAGAGTTAACACTGGTGGCAATCTGGTAGAGGAAAACCAGTGGAGAGGCTTAGCTTGCTATCTTAGCAGATAACTTCAAAGCAGCCTGAACAACAGGGCTGAAAATGAAATAACTGGGATAAGAAACACGCTTCCTCACCATTGCAGCTGAGCACTGCACTTCTGGCAGCATCTCTGCACATCTGTATCATCCATTGAGAAGAAGTAAACAGCATCAGTAAGCTGGAAAGACTGCTTTCCTATCCTCCTAGACCCCCCGCAGCAAATCTATCCCAAGCTCAAAAGAGAAAAAGTGTTGGTGTGTATTTTCCTAGGATCTTGGAGTTCATTGTTCTTTATTATGTTAGTGTGTTATGCTTAGTATGTTTGGCTTAATATGACCAGCTAATGTTCTACTGACTAAAACATAAAGTAGCATGATCTCAGAAATTAAATTATCTGAAAAGGAGGAACAGAACGATTCAGAAAAAGGGGAAGTGGTGCAGGACAGTGTGTATTCAGTCCTCTTTTCAAAAGCTTCTTCCCTGAAATGAAAATTGTTGGATAATGCCTTTCTCCTTCTCTTCCTTCCTTGAACCAAACTACAGGCTCCAAAAACAAGGCAGCTAATAATAAACTCTTCAGCTGAATTCTAGGAAAGCAGTTTGGTCAAGACTTTGTCTGCCAAATGCTGATCAACACATGTTCCCAGCTGCCAGCAGTGACTTGCTGGTATTTGACAAACCATTTTGCTTCAGCCTTCTAGCCTTCAGTTTTGCTTCACGTTTTGCTCCAAACAAGGCCTCCCACTTCCTAACAATGGAGTCAAAGGTTCTGGAGTCATGGTCTTCCTAACCATGTTACATGTCCATGGAGCATACAGGGACTACTCTAGTCACAATATATTAACCCAAATGGTCTTACACTGTGACTCCTGAAACAAAAACCCCACTGCTGGTTTTATTGCCATCCACACCAGCAGGCTGTACAGGAACAGCACTGGCATTTCTACAGCAACAGTCAGCAGACAGAACAGGACTCCTTTCAATATTACCTTTTATCAAGGTTTGCATAATAAAATTTGGTTCTTGCCTTGGGATTCCCCTATACTGCCTTCTTTTACCAGTGAGGACACAGGGCTGAGAGGGAGCACCAATTGAGATATCAGGCATAATGTTTCCTACTGGTCAGACAGAAGCTTGAACTACTCCACTGCATTTTGGTCCCAAGAGCAACTTCTGATGCTTCGCCAGAAATGCTGACCCAACTGTCCACTGAATTTGGAGTCTTTAAAAACATGTACATCACCTTGGTAAATGGAGGAGCCCAGTGCCAGGTGAAACAGACAGCACTGCTGAAGGCACATGGCTCCTGCTCCCTCCAGAGGCTGCTTAGGGGCTGCCTGGAAATGTAGCTGGGACTGTAGAAATGGGAAAACGTCAAGTCAGGTTTTCTGAAGGAGGGGAAATAACCCCTTTAGGGGACACATGAGCACCTGCAAACAGCACATATGCTGGTGCAGGGATGTATAGAAAACAGGTGAGCCTAGTTCCTCCCTATGCTACCCCACGATGCTGGGAAAGATGAGGAAGCGGGTATGGGAGGAAGTTTGGGCTCAAAACCAGTTTGGAGTAAGAAGGCTTCTTAATATTGGAACACTACTGAATCACACAACTCTCACCAGTGCCAATTCTAGGGCTTCATGATTCTGTTCCCCTTTTAGTCAACGATTCTTCTGTACTGCAGACATCCGGGACACCTCCCTGACCACAGCGATGTTTACATGAAGGATAAGGCAGTTATGGCTGTTTCCTAACGGTGGAACTACCCTGACTCCTCCTCCTGTGGTGAAATCTTCTCCTACCTGTGCCACACCACTGGCCCTCTCCTTCCTCCCTGCCATCCCACCAAGCGCAACAGCACAAGCACTTCTGGAAATGCTTTTGCATTTCTAAGTGGAGAAATAACTCACACTGGCAACATCACAATACTCATAAGAAAGAAAGAAATGAAACCAAGTCAATATGCAAAAACTCCATCATGTCCCAACAGTGTACTTACTATTGGGATAGTAAGGATATTGGAGCACCCACTCCTTGCTAAAACCTTCCACAGTTCACCACAAAAGTATGCTGACCAGGGACAGCTAGGTAGTGGACAACATTGAGGGGACCTACTTTTATGTGTTAAAGAATCCTAGTATTTTTTACTCGTCTGGAGGTGACAGAAATGAGCAGCACACATCTCTTCCTATTTATCAAGATTTTTTCTTTCTCTTTTTGCTATTCCAGGGTTTAATCCAGAACAACAACAACAACAAAAGAGTAGGAAAAAACCCTGTGTGCAGCCTTATGGCAAGACTTTCCAAGCCACAGATGCTGGCTCTGTGGTTGGCTGACCTATCCAAAATAAAGCTCAACAGCAGGGAGCGGTGGAGTAGTTCAGGGGGTAGAAGAGGTCATGCGAATGTGATCCCCACCTCCTGAACACCACATCTCCTTACACTGCCTGTCCCTGCTCCTTTTAGGATGCTAGGAATTGTTGACTTATTTTTCATTTTTTATTTTCAGCTTGCCTTTCCTATCTGCTTGCCAAGTGGGATCGTTGAAAGTGAGACTTGTTGCAGCTACTTTCCCAGGAGACAAAAAAAAAGGGGAACTTTTACCCCGATGGCTTACAGTCGAAAAGGCACATAGCAGCTTCAATGATGAGCTCCTTTGGCTGCTGCAAGACAGAGTTGGCACTGGGGGAGCTCAGAGGCCAGCATGGCACCTTCCCTTTGCCACAGGGATGGGCATCAGCCTGTCCTGGGGGAAGCTGTCAGCTGCAGAGACTGAAATGTTTTAGTGAGAGAAAGAGACCACAAGAACCTTGAAAAGTAGGGCCTCGAAGGCTGCTGACCCCTGCACACAGATGCATGGCACTACCTTCCTCAAGAGAAGGTCATTTTGAGTGAACAAACATTAAAAAAAGGGAAAGTGGAAAAAAGAAAGTGACCCACCTAATTTTAATAATTTTTGACATCAGAATGCATTCATACTGTATACTTTTACTTTTCTTTTGAGAGGAGTGCACAGGATATGTCCTGGCTCACCTGATGGAACAACTTCTGCAAGTCTACAGAAGGTCCTATGCCACCACTCTCAGGGACACCTACAAACCTCGCAGCACATTGGTCTGTGGGTTGAAGCAATGCCCAGCTGGGCAGAGGACATGTAAGAGGTGTGGACCCTTTTTTACAGCCAGCATATTCATTTCTGTTCAGGTGTGGGCTTCATTTTCATAATGATAATGACCACATAGTGAAACCAACCACTCATTGCTTCTGATCAGAGCTATTTCTGCAACCTTATGTTTGTCAATAAAATAAACCAAGTCTAAAACTCACACCTTCCTCTGGGAAGATATTGGATGAAAGTGGATGCCAGGACTATACCTGTATGTTTTCATGCTGCCAGCAAGGAAGTTTTTCATAGCACGTGTTTGACTTACCCTAAGCAGTATGCAATAGTGAGCTGAAAGAACTGCTGCCACTTACCAAACCTCTTGTAGCCGAAGGACTGCACCTCCTCCTCTTCTGCAAAATCGTCTGGAGAGAGAAAGACACAGCAACAGATTATGACTACTACCACTAGAAAAAGGTGGGAAGAAGAGGTTTTACAGGTGCATGTTCATAAACTAATGTAGGTTTAATTGATTTGTTAGACATGTTACTGATCTTCTCCTCTGTTGCTCATATCCTACCTCTGTCTCCAGGTACAGAAGGCAGTTCCCAGAAAATTGCATCCCTAGAAATCCAGACTACAAACTGCAGATGTATGACCTGGCAGTTATACTGAGGCCTGTTTATCCAGCTACAGATCAGAGCAGACATGTTCCTCATCACAAGGACAGCCACAACTGTCACCAGCTGTTTGGGCAGGCTCGCCCAGACCACAGCACTCGCTCTGGCTGGCTACCTGCACTGTCCAGGTGTTCAGGGTCAGTATATACATGCACCAGTTGAGCCTTTTGTATGAAGTGCCATGTATAGCTGTGCCAAGTAATAAGAGAGGAGTCAGGGAGGATGGTTGTCCATCCATCTACCAACTCGTGTGGGCACTAGCTTGGCCTGAAGGTGCAAGATTTAATAAAAAAATGAGAAACAGAACTGATAAACATTTGAGAAAAGTAAAAACAAAGATGGTGCAGATGGTGAAGGGTCTAGAGGGGAAGTCATATGAGGAGCGGCTGCAGTCACTTGGCTTGTTGGGCCTCGAGAAGAGGAGACTGAAGGGAAACTTCACAGCTGTTTACAGCTTCTTCATGAGGGGAAGTGGAGGGGCAGACACTAATCTCTTCTCTTTAGTGACCAGTGACAAGACTTGAGGGAATGGCATGAAGCTGTGTCAAGGGAGGTTTAGGCTGAACATTAGGAAAATATCAGGCTCTCCAGGGAGGTGGTCACAGCACTAAGCCTACCAGAGTTCAAGAAGCATTTGGACAATGCTCTCAGGCACATGGTGTGATTCTTGGGGCTGTCCTGTGCGGGGCCAGGAGTTGGACATCAATGATCCTTGTGGGTCCTTTCCTACTCAAGATATTCTATGATTTGATGACTCCATTAAGCCTTTTGTTCTCATTTTTACTGTAAGCAAGCAGTAATATGCTAATAATCACAATTTTGTTTTGTCAGAAGCTTAATTTCTCTCCACTTCCTTCCAGCAGCAAAAGAAAAGGCTGGCATCAGCAAAAGAAATACACCCACAACTTCTTTAAAAGAAAAAGGATATGTTTGCATTCATGTGTTCAGCCTCCTTCTACCAACACAATCCCTCATTCTGCTGAGTCAGGAAAGGCAAAAGCCCTGTCTTATCACCAGCACCAGCCTCTGCACCAAGCGACTATATGCTGGGGAGGCCAGCACAGCCCAAAGCTGCTCTTCTGCTTCCCTGTTTCCCAGAGGGAGCAGAGCAGACCTGCTCTCCCTCCAAGCACCATTTTTACATGGGGGGAAGGCTCCACAGAGCCCTCTTTAAACAGGACCTAGGACACAGCTTCCCAAGTGGCTGCTGGCAGTTCCCAGCTCACTGTCATCCTGGGGAAGCACATTGTCTTTGCTGTGACTCTGAGTAGAAACACGCAGCCAAGCCTACCTCCATGCTGCGAAAAACACTGCTGGGATCTGAAGGCAATCTCCACTGACAAAAACTCAGCTACTCCCAGGCTTTTGTTTGCACTGCAGTGGTGGAGAGGCTGACTCAGCACCCCTGGATCTTCAGTGGCTGCTGGTCACCTTGTGCCACCCTTCCAGCATAGGATACTGAGGAAGCTCATTCAATTGCAACATCTCCATCCGGTCTTTCCCTGACTTGAGGGGAGAAGGAAACAGAAGCTCAAAGGCCAGTGAAGGGATTCACCAGAAGGGAACATTTAATAACTGGTGGTGGAAGAGCAAGCTCAAAGCAGATAAATGGATGTGATGGAGTAATAAGTCTGTGCTCAGTTAGACCTTTTTTGTCCATGGACTTACTGCACATGATCAGACTGCTCTGCATCATGAAACTGGGCAAACAGGTGCCTCAGCTAACTTGGGCCACCACAGAGCCTTGGGGGATTAATTCAAAGCTAAAGATACAGTCCTCATGCAGGCTCAACAAAGCCCAAATGATTTGAGTGCATGTTCAGCATGAAATATGACTTTCCCGTCCTTCTGACCTGCAAGGTGCCATGCGCAGAAGTCTGGGGTAGACTTTGCCTGAAGCTGCACAGAGTTCATGAAACGCATCATTTTGCAGAACACCACCCTTTGCTCAGATGGCACTGTTGATAAAACAGCTAAAAACATACCCTTCACCAGGTAACACATTTTCGTTACTGCCAGACTTGTTCCTGTCCTTATCTTAACCTAGACCCCCCAAGTCAGATGTGCATTTAAGAAGTGGAAGAGCCAGTGAATGCTCCTTAGGCAAAACAGACACATCTTGGTTTTGAAGGCAGAAAGAAACCTTAAAAAAACTCAAATACAACAAACCTTCTCAATTGTACCAAATATCATCTGAAAACAAGGTCACCCAACAAAACATAACAAATACTAATAAACCATAAACAGTCAACAACCAAGATCTTTATCCCAGCAGTGAGATAATCAGGAAGAATCTCCCCTCTTGCACAAAAGATAAAATGCTGCACAGCATAAGATATCAGCTCCAGAGCACTTAGCTTCCTGCCCTCTCCTGCTATCTGGCTGTACCACAATCACCTCCTTTGTTTCATTCAGAGTGTAACCTGGCTTATCTGATCCATATCTGATGTATACAGCCAGGCCGTCTTTAAATCCTGCGGCTTCATCCTACACCACATCTCTAAGACCTTCCTCCCAGACTGCCAGCCTCTTCCCTAGTTATCTTCCCTAGTTCTTTTTTGCACTTAACCCAACAGCATTGCCTTCTGGCCACACATTCATAATCACATTTTTGTTTCTTTGGACGTTTCTATATTTGCAAT